ATAATGTTAATACCATTTTAAAAAAGCAGCACAAATATAATGTCAAAAGAGCTAGACGTTTGGCTGAAAAATAAATTGAATTGTTTTTTTGTTGCGGACATTACATTTCTCTTACCCAAACTTCGATGCACCATAAATCACAGCAACTCTGGATATTGTCTGATCTAACATTGTCATCATGATATGTGAACCTTAGACTGTGTTTGTTAAGAAATATAACTTATTTCAAAGTTAAAGTGACTGAGTTATAATTATTTTAAATAAACACACTTTATCCACAGAACAATAGCAACAAACAAGTGCAGATTCGACGGTTTGCCGTAGAGTGGGCATGGGCCAAAATTCAAAAATCGTTTTGATTTATGATAATACAATGTGTTAACTATGGAAACATGTGGTTAGCACCACATAATGTTGCATTTTGCAATTTTGCCATTTTCAATGTCTCATGTGAAATTGACCTGTTTGATATTTATGATTATTAACACTTTTTGTCTGCATACTACCTATATTGCAACTGAAAAATATGCAACATCCCTGGCCCCAGTTACCATGGCCAATTTGGTCACCCAGTTTTGAGATCCTGGCTAAGACTCTGGACTGAGTGCATCTTTCGGGCCTAACAGTGAGTAAAACCAAGGCGTTAAAAATTAGTAAAAATTTTAAAAAAGCGCCCGCCTGCCCACTTTTTGGCAAAAGCTAAGGGCTCTAACCAACTATTTTTTATGTGGCCTAATGGTAAACATTTATAAACTGCACATGGTGCCTTGTTCAATCATGATGACTGAGAAATTGTCTGAATATTTCTAAAAACAGATAGCAAGGATTATTTGCTAAAAACAATGAATGAAGAGAACAGTTCCCCCATAAAGACAGGAAAAGGGTGTCGCAAAAGAACAAATAACACAAAGTACTTCAATGAAATAGATGATGAATCGGAAGATATGGTAAGATACAGTAATGTACATATGCTACTGTGCACACCAATGACCAATTATAAATTTATGATATACATGCATGTATGATTGCATATGGCCTAATATTTTAATAGAAATGTATTTGCTGTGCCATCATGTTCATTAAGTCAGGCAATATTGTGTTGAATAAACTAAATTTGAATAACATATGACTGAATAAAAAGATGGAAGGGGCATTGATTTGATCCTTGCACCACCTGGTAAAACCCAAGATTACAAGAACTAGCTGTCAGTAAGATTCATATTTAAACTACAATTATATTCTATTTGGAACCAAACTACAGCATTTTAGATAATCTAAATGCAAAACAAACACAACTCACAAACTCAATTTTTTTATTTAATTATAAAAATAAATGTAAATATTATTTGCTATGTTTATAATGTTGCATGGTCTGGTTTATTACTTTTTACAGGAACCTGTAATCAAAAAGTTAAAAGCATCTGGCCCAAAGATAACTGAGGCAAACAGATCAGCCAATCTTGCTTCAATGATAAAGGAGAAATTAGCTAAGGTTTGTTAATGTTTTTTACGTCAATTTTAAATTAGGGAGCTTAGACAGCAAGCCACAATAACAGTTAGGGACATGGTATACTGGTATTTTTAGTTGTTTACACTATTATTCCCATTAAGCTGTGCACAGAGCTTCCTAGTTGACAAGTAAAATCGTCTAGGTTTAAATTACAGCTTTATGATCAGCCTACCCTGTTCTGTATTGCCTATAATTCTATTGGCAATGACCAGTTTCATGAATATTTTTCAAATACGTGACTACTGTACCTATCTTTAGCAAAGTCAGCCTGATAAAGATGGTCAATCTTGTGATGATAATGACTGCAGACATAAAAAAGAAAACATTTTGCTCAAAGAATATATCAAAATTCTGGAAAGAGAAAATAAGAGGCTACTTGATGAAATTGAAAATGGCAATGGTAAAGTGCATGCATGAGTATTGTGTAGTACAGTATATGTAATTTATCATTTTGTCATTTGCTTTTGCTAGATTGTTGGAATGCTATTTTTAGGGTTTGTAATCCAAGTGAGTATATATAGA